GAAAGGTCGGAGGGGTCACAAAGCGCAATTCAGGCGAGAGAGCGCAGAGAAAAACAGAAATATGGTGCCATTAAAGGGAATGAGTTTTAGTTGTTCGTAGACCAACAGTCGGTGGAGAAAAGGCCGACGCCAAACCCACTATCCCTGGAACGCCCCAGCCACAGCAGATAAGACGTCACTAGTTCATAGTGCGACCCAAAACACCCTCTCCCACCAAAAAGTTGAAAGGGTGTAATAGTTAGTACCCTAGCTGGGTAAGAGTGAGGCCTAGCTTCAGTTCCAAAGTGATGTAAAATTCTTTGCCAATTACTTAGCATTACTTGTTACCATATCTGGATCGCGATTGCAATGAAGTATAGCAGCTAGCAAAAGAAGGCATGATATGAGGAAAGAGGCTCGCTAAATGCCAGGGACAGCTTTCTGAGGTGTGCTCTGCGTTTCACGTACGATTCTGTACAGGACTCTGTACAAGATTTGCAACGGCAGGTTCCCTTCCAGGACTTTAAGAGATGCCACTTCTCCTCCCATACTGATTAAATAACTATATCCCGGAACGAATAACAGCACCAGTTTCTTACAACGGCAAAATGGGAACTGTAGCTAAACTGAAATTGACTAACCTTGAAGTTACCATCGGTCACAGGATTTAATGCTTCATAAACCCGTTCGTTTCCAGTGCCGTGGATCGCAAATGAATTGAATTTTGTTATGTCTGAAGAAGGAGTTTAAGGACGTCTTACATAAAACTGACACAAGTAGTGGTAAGATATGAGACGTAGGTAGAACTTATCAAGCCAACGTATACAAAATAGAAACTCGACACCTTCAAAGTACTCCCTAATGGAAGGCATGAAACCGAAGTTGCGAACACACCGAAACAGCACTATTCTAACCGCTTATTAAGCAGTATGAGTAGTAGCAGACCCTCAGCCTCTCCTCCACTAAAATCCAATACACATAAAACTAAATGAAACTCAGCTGCTACTCATTGGCAGAAGCAGGAATTTCTACGCCAGAATGCGATGCCTTTACCGAGATTTGAACTAACGTTTTGTAAGGAACATTGTTGGACATCTAAGCCATCGCACCGCTTTCTCAGCGAGGTTCTAGTTTTGCACACATTGCACGATTATCTGGGTGACGAACAAATGGGTGGCGAACCTTCCTCCTACCTCTCCCCCCCCCCGTGTGCACAAGGGTTCCAACCGAATCCCACCGACGCTGCCTCAGAGAAAGGACGCAGATCTACAGCGCGAATGGTATGGCCGGCTTATCGAACGACGGGTGGAGAAATCGCAAATCAAGCAATCACAAGCCTCAGCCCTCCTTGTTACGTGCTTTAGAGTGGCAGAAAAAGTTCACTTCTAAAGCGGTTAGTTCTTCCACGCTGCACAGAGGTCCAAGCTAATCATACCATACTTGCTTCGCTTAGCGGCAGTTGGCGCGATAATTTCAAGTGGACTTTGAAAAAGAGCAAATGTGCCCAGTAATCAGTAGAAATAGTGGAAAACGGGGTGAAATGGCGGGAAACCACGAAATGGGGGCTTTATTTCTTCGCTGCACTGCGGCAGTGGACGAGCGAACGGCTGGGGCGGGCGCTGCTTTGGACGAGTCTACCGATGAACCGTTTACTGCTGGCAAAAAGCCAGCAGTACGTTCTACGTCGCTTTACGTTACACTACATTACACGTAGACAAGAGCGATCCACAACGGCACGTCCTCGTGCTGTGATGCCATACATCCAATGGTAGGCGTGCGGGCGAGGTGGGTGTCCGGTCGGTATGTTGCTGCTCAGTAGGGCGCTATAAGGGTACCCTCCTTGGAAAAGGCGCTACGCAGCGCCTGCTCATGGTCACGGAATTCTTCCATGCCGGTCGTATTAACCTTACTCGTCTTTAGGGATTTATCGTGCCAAGTGCCTTTAAGTGGTCGGCTTGAGGCAGGGTAATAATCTGATCCAAGCATAACATTTCTTTTCACGTAAAAACATAACACTTACTTCCAGGTAAATATGCTAGCGGTATTTCGAATTCACAATGCCACATACTTCCAACGAACTTGTTGCTGATCTCGAGTTCGAGCTCTTCTCCTGAACACTTAACGGCATCCTACAACCAGCAACAATTACCACAGTGCTACGATTCGTTGTTACATTTAGGAGAAAGAAAGTTGCCTGTGCACTTGTTGTGATTTTTTCTCTTTCTTTGTTTTTCTACCACTCAACATGAAATAAAAAATCAATAAATAATCGCCATTGTTAGCCACTACAGTGCTCCACCTAATGGGCAACTCAGCTATCCCCTTCTCCCAGAACTGAGGAGGCTGCGAGTCGAAGAAGTAGGCAACTTCTCGATTGATGCCATCAAATTCGCTGAAGGTTTTCTTACCTAGGAAAGCCTTGAGGGAGCGGAACAAGTAGTAGTCGGAGGGGGCTAGGTCTGGAGAATATGGTGGATGGGAACGGTCTCCCAGCCTAGCTCCTCAATTTGGCGGTGGGTCTCTTTAGCCACATGTGGTCTGGCGTTATCATGGAGGAGGTGCACCGAAGCTCGTCTCGGCCGCTTTCTCGAAGAGCTTGCGCGAGTTTCTGGAGTTGGGCGGCGTAAACGGTAGCGGTAACCGTATGCCCTTGCGGAAGCAGCTCGTGGTGCAGCATGCCCTTCGAATCCCAGAAGCAGCAGAGGAGGACCTTTATGGAGTGCAGGCCTGGATCTGGGTTGTGTAGAGGGGCGCGCCCTCCTTCTTCCTCGAGAGAGCGCCACATGGCACGACGTAGGTTGGAATCATAGAGGACCCAGCTTTCATCTCCAGTCACAATATCTTCCAGAAACTCCTTCCGGTTACGGTGTAGAAGGAGCAGACAGATGCTGCACTCTGGCATAGCCGCGAGAATGTCTGTTAGAGAGCATGAGGTATCCATCGCGTGAAGACTTTTCTGTAGCCAGGGGCCTGAAGGCAGCTGAGAGCTATTGTATGGCTACACCCGAGTCTTGTCGGCACTTACTGCAGAGTGGGTTAGGCTTCGGATCCTCTCTGACAGGTCCGAGAACGGCGAATTTCTACGCGGCGAGGGCGTCGTCGGCAGACGAGGTTCTATCTGCCGCAAGATGCGCGTCTCTTCGTTCGCGAAGCGAGCGAACCAACGGTGGACAGTCCTGACGGTGGTGGTGTCCTCCCCCAATGCACAGTTGATGTTACGGGCGCTGCCGTCGCTCCAGTGCCGCGCGGGCGCCACGCCATAAAAGATAAGATCACCGAAGCTGCTCCAGTGAACTGACATCATAAATGAAGCCAGGGAAGAGGCAGTAGCCTTGATAGTATCCTCTGTGGAAGACTCGAGAGTGATTCTAACAACGCGTTAGCATGTAACGCAAATGTTCGAGCTTCGAAGATTCAAAAAACTGTAGGGGGTCCCGGCCCCACGATCCATGCTAAAAAACACTGACAGGGACCTTTCTTTACCAACACTAGCATTTAGGATAATGCTAATGTAATGTCAATTTGCCTACAAAACAGTTTTCGTTGGTACAGTAGCTTGAATGTACTGGGGGTCAAAATCAGGGCATCCCAACACGTTAAGCAATTCTTCATATACGAACACCAAAAATCCATCGAGCGTAGGAACTGGGTGCACGGACAACTTGAACTCAATCCCTTTCAACGCGTCAACAAGGCACGCCATCGCGTTGTGATCAATTCCTGAAAAATACGACCCCCTAATTCCATCCTCAAATACGACCCTCCCTCCCCATGCTACCTACCACTTTCCTAGATTTTCCCAACTTCCTACCACTTTTTCCATTTTTTCCCGAAAAAAATTCTGGTTCTTCCCCAAAATTTTGCTGTCGATCGGGGGTTGGGAGGGGAGAGGTCCTCAGGATTTAATCTTTGGCAGTCCCTCTCCCAACAACGACAAATACGACCCCCCCCCCTTTATAGCGTCCGTGAAACAAGAGAAATCAACTATCAAAAAAATTTTCTCAGACCAAATACGACCCCCTCCCTCGCGGTCAAATACGACCCCCCGTTGTGATAATCACAACGATGGCGTACCCCGCGCGTCAAGACAGTGAGGGATCCCCTTGAGCGAATACGACCCAACCCCCCGAAAGCGATGGGAACAGACACGTTGTAGAGTGTCACACCAAGTAAATTCCCTAGGCCATCAGGCAGGTCAGGAACAACAAAAAACCTCCTCTGGCAAATACCATGTTATCGGAAAATGAAAATAAACGTTTCTCCTCCCTCGCCCATTTTCTCAAAAATGACGTGGTTGCGGTCAAATCTAGCTTCGCGAATAAAAGTTGAGAAAAGAAACCGAAAAGTTGAAAGATTACCGTTGTTGAATGGTTTCCGGATGCCATCGAACAAAAGACATAGCCAGTGCCCATGTGGCCCAACTTCAACTTCTATGTACTGATCACGATTGTTGGCGAAGAAGAACTCGACGACTTCATATTCCCAAAGCTTAAAAAGTGATGTAGTACGAGTTATCCAGAAAGCATGAAGGTGCAGTTCGGCGATGGGGGGGGAAGATGTATGTGCACTTTCGCTACTTCACTAGCTCCGGTTCACAAGTCTCACCTGGTGAAACCTGAGATCTCTTGTGAAGCTGCACGAAGTTTGTGGATCCATCATGGTAGGTCCAATGGTATCATTACAAGTATGATTTCATGGCCTCCAAGGTTTTAAGGGTCTCCACGTGGTGGTTGGGTACGTCGAAGGGGAGTAGATAAAGAGGCAAATGCCCCCACCCGCCGCCGAAGTGCCCGCGAACGTGCGGCCAAGCAATGACTCTGCCTTAGGAAGTTTTGGACAATATCGACCACAAAAAACCGCGGAAAAATGCAAACCACGCAATCCCCAGGGCAAGATCGCCAGGAGGATCTGGGCGGCTTCTGGATCCTCCGAAGCAGAGGAGCCTGGCAAAAACGAAATCGAGCGTCAAGCAACAGTTCCACTCAAGCGACCCTAGGAAAGTATGGGAGTATCGATAATAGCGAAGCGCCCGCGTCTAGCGCAGTCGTCCACCTAGCGCTCCAGGAGTGGAAAATAGGCGAAATGAGCGGAAGTCCAGACGAGCTTGCGATTAGGCGGCCAGCGCAAACTGGCTGCTTGTGTAAAAGCGCCGTACTAACACTCACCACTCCTGTACGCTGGCGCTAGTTAGATCAATATCTATAGCGTCTTAGCCGCTGGCGCTGACGGACGCTCGATGTCGGTGGTCGCTGCAGCAAAGTATGAACAGCCTCAATGGTGAATCGGAAAAGCGTCGAAAGCACTTTTACAACTACGAAAACAATAGAAAGAAGTGTATGTACATTACTTCACCCTCGAAGCTCGACTTTATTGGCTCCTCTTGTGAGGCTTTCCTCTCAGCCTGGCAAAATGCAAATTTCATGCTTCAGCCAATGGATTGGATCGTGGATCTAACAGGAAGAAGCATCCCCAGTGTCTTTGTCGATGGGTAACTCCAAACACCGATCAAGCGATGACCCCCGCATGCAGACGATTAACCCCTTAACATAACTAGTACAGATTAAGATCACTTGAACTATTCAAGAACCCAAGATCTACGACACGAGCGGAAACAATGGAATCATTGGAAGCCTAGCTTTGGACGCTGCATGTGACACGAATCCTTAATAAAAAGCCATCTCGCATATCGTTAGTTATGAATGGATGCGATAATCGCTTTTCGAAGGGAGAGGAAATGTGCTATCACTGGATGCACCTATAAAGAACTTTGGGCTGCTCGGCCGCAAGCTATGTACCTCCATATGACTGGTGTGGCGCAGTGGTACTCGAGCTCATAATATAGCATAGCGACGAGCTACTCTAGACGTGGGGATATATACATATAGATATATAATATATTATTCATTCGAAGATTCACGGATCAGATATTGTCCCAGTATCGGAAATATCCAAACAGCGAAGAGCGCTCATGACTCATTGCAAAGAACTGATGCACGCCACACGACGGTCAATGCGTCCCAACAAATTTTGTATTGCTGGAAGGTTTTTATAAATCCCTGGAAAGGCATATGCCAAGAAAACGTACCGGTTAGCACTTCCAACAGAATAGTGAAAATATATAGTATTGTAGAAAAATGACGTGGTGAGGAGGTCCGATCAGGCGATCGGCAGTGGGAAGCAAGTATCCAGAATTGGCGCGTGACGATTTGATACGTGGGCATGGTGTCTCGTCCGCATATCTACGAATCTTGTCGCATACTCGTTCCAAACATTGGTTCAAAGGGGTTTGTTGGCCCTTCGCTCCATCGTTTCGGTACAGTCTGTTTTTGATATTCTGTCTGCCGTTCGCCTGATTTGGTGAAGATATCGGTTTTTCCGAGTTCTTTTGTTTTCCCTTCATTCCTCCTCTTCAACTTTTCTCGCGCATGGGGTTGACAGCCCGACCAAACGGGCGCTTTGCTCACTTGTGAACTACTGATTACTCCTTTCTGGTAGTCTTCGTGTTCATTGAAAGCTTTCTTAGGCGTTTTCAATGACTGGCACTAGCTTTACGTGAGTTTGGGGGAGGGAACACGTCCTTAGCGGCCTTCGTACGGGAGCCCAGATTACTTCTGTATCAAGTTGAGAAAGGCAGTTGCAAGTGATAAATCCCCCAAGTACGCCATAGGATCAATACTTCTGCAGGATACGCGGCAGACAGCCGGCTGGGCAGGCGCTGCTATAGGCGGTTTCCCGTAGGAAGCTGCTTCCTTATAAGGGCGTCTTTCAAGGCGCCACAGACTTTACCGGTGCTAAATTGTATGCCGCCCCGCCCGCCGCCAAAATGGCCAGACCGTTCCTGACTGCTCGTATTATTCATTTGGCTTGAAGCAAATTATAGCGAAGAGTATTGGTCATGATAGGCGGCCCGTGATGCTGGCCATGCACTACATGGGGTACACATTACACCTTATCTTTGGTAGCGGTGGTTGTACAGATTGGCGCCTACGGGATAATTCTGTCCAATATCGATTACAAGTCACTGAGACGGAGGCTTTTCTTTACGCAGAGGATTTTGTACAAATTCCGTCCGTTCTTTCGCCATGTTCGCGCCCATACAGGCGCCATATGCTATGCATTTAAAGAGTGGCTAGTAGTTAAGCATGCGTGGCGCAATATGCTTTTGAATGAAGACCATGTTTCTCTGCGGAACTATCTCTCAACAACTCTGGTCGTCTGCGCTCTACGCCTAAACCTATCTATGAAAGTTATAGGGGCGGGTTGAGAGTGGTAGTCACCCCCCCCCCTTCCCTTTCCAACTGCACTAGTGCCCTCTCATTTTTCTCTTGGGATGCTCGTCTTGATGAGGTTGCAGGATGATATGCATCCCAGGAACATATTCTTTTGCAGTTCTACCTTGCTACCGTATTTATGGCCAGGATTTGCTTCCAGGGATAGGTCCTTGAGAGTCTGTTTGCTTTCGAGGCCATTGTATTACAAGTGGGAATTATACCAAGGCATTAAATACTTTTGTTTCAATACTCTTTTTTGATGCTGAAGTGTGCTAAATCTTTCCGTTATCGGCTTTAGTCTATCACATATTTCTCACAGGCAAATACCACCCCCCCCCCTTCCTGTTTGTTCTCGAGACCATTGTAATACCTCCCTTCAGCGACCGAATACGGCCCCCTCGCTGGTGACAACGTGCGATCTGCCCTGCCCCGCTCACCATCTGAGTGCTCAGTCAGACTACGTAGTGACGTCCGAGGCGTCCCGATCTTCTCGTTGGGTGTGTTCCGACACGCCCAGTTGCTTCGGAGGGGAGGGGGGGGGGAATTTCAAAACCGGTGCAGAGTTACTTGTCGCTCGAAGTTTTGCTGGTTAATTATATGATAGACCGCCATGAAAATGAAGGACTATGAACGATGAAATACTTTAAATGTAAATGATCTTTGGCTATGAGGACCATTGTGTTGTGAAGGTCACCGCCGCGTGCATCGTTAATGTGAACAGCGAGCGCTGCATAGCCGTTTGAAAACGAGGAGGCGGTTGTGTTTTGTTTTCGTTGACGATATTTGCCCGATTTTTCTGGTACGTCAGCAAATAGTGCCTGTTTTTCAGTACTACAAGTGACGAGACCACCTCTGTGGGTGTTCTTCCCCATGTATTTTATTTTATTTGCTCTTTTTTTTCTGATCTTTCCCCTTGTCTGAGATGTCCTTGGCGTTCGGTAATGCCTTTAGACATTTTCAAGGTCGTCTCGTACCTCTGATCATCATCTCTTTCTTTTTCTTTTCCTCTCAAATTAGCCGGTTATTCTAGTAATGACCTCTTGTCGCATCTTTGAAGAAACGCTGCTTTCTGAGCTGGGTCCTGGCAAATGTGTCGGTCCTGTCCACTTTATTTTCGTCTCTTGGGTCGGGTCGTCAAGGTTTATGCAAGCGTCTCTTCATGATATGATTAAAGAACCATTTTCCTTCAAAAAGGATTTCATCAGTTGTTCTATGAGCTATTTATTTCGAATTTATCGTACAGTCCTGTCTGCAGCGGACGTTGGTACATTTCAGAGAGGATGTGCTATGAGTGGCGGCCAGCCAGGGGGGGGAGCGGGGGGGGGGGGGGGGGTTGGGGCGACTGTTGTCCAAAGAATTGTGGGAAGCTGGCAGGGACCACAGTTGGCGGATAACAGGCTGAGGCCGCGCTGAACCAGCTTCTCTGAAGCGCTCCTGCGTCCTTACGAGACTAGAATTTTTTGAGGGTCTTGTTTTGTGAAGTTTCAACACTTATGAGTGAGGTGTATAGGTCAGCTAACCTCTCGGGAGAATTGCACGCTGTCCTTTGGATGGATGGCACTGGATGGCAGTCTATTTACTACGAAATGTAGGAACAAACACCGCACAAAAGTAAGCTGATATCATATACTTGAATAGTTCTATCAAGCCTGCGCTATTGACATTGCATTTTCTCAGGTGGTCTGGCTGCGTAGGTGCTGAATCTGTTCTAGTCCCGGTCCAGCGTTGCGCACGTTAAATTTCACGCGCGAGATTAGGTTGGGGGGTCGTAAATTTTTGGTCCCGCTGGAGGGTCGTATTTGCCTCGGCCTTTTCCTTTCTCATGTGAAGCGAGCATACGGCCCTTGACCAGGCACATTATGTTGGGGTATTTTTAAGTCGAGTCTGTACGATGCGCCCGCCCCTTTAGATACGCTACGCGTGAAGCGAGCGCACATATCAACTATCAAAATAGGTTTTTTCCAGCCGCATACGACGCGACCCTCTCTCTCTGACGATCCAATGCGACCCGCCCCCTATTGGGGATTCCCCAGGACGATGTGGCCTGCCCTCGACAGCAGTTCGTCCTGGAAGGAGAGAGCGAGGAAAGGGGCCATTTTCCGAAAAAAAAAAACTACTGGAACAGTGCTAGGAAGTTGGGAAAATCTAGGAACACGTAGCCAGTGTGGGGTGGAGAAGTGGGGTGGGGGGTCGTATCAGAGGAGGGTCTCCCCGAGAATGGTCGCGTAATTTCGCAAAATGTTCCCGAATAGCAGGTACTCAAGTTACTCGAGTATTCATCCACGATCAAAATAAAAACGAGGACTACATCATGAGGGAAACTGGGTTTATGTTTTTGAATCTGCTGAACAGCTGTGGATTTTTTTGTTGATGATGAAGCGGCTAAGCTTCAGTCACTCCGTGGTGGCAATTAATTCGGCTTGAGCAGGATATAATTCAGCTCTTTTCTTTCTCATTAATAATGTTCTCTTAGACATTCTTTTGAATAAGTTTCTCTCAGCTATGATTGACTCATTAATATTTGGTCGTGGAAGTCGATCCGACCCACTCCTGACAGCGCGTGAGGTGTGCAGGCCTCTTGTCCTGTAACACCTCCATCGCCTAGGTCTAAATTACTTGGAAATATAAGACAAGTGGAGGAGAAAGGGGTTCATGAGGAGAACAGATCTTTCCATTAATTACATTGGGCTGTAACAAGCGCCCATAAAGTTTAGAATTTCTTCTAGAGTATTGTCTATTATGACTAACACGTGCGTCAGGTGCACTTGTTTTTAGTCGTTAATGATCTCCTTTCATAATTTATGCACGAGCAGTGATTGAAGAATTCAGTTTCCATCACTTTTCGGCTTGGAAGGGGCATTTCGCGTTATCGCGAGTTTTTTTTCTTGGTTCATGCTTACTAACAGGTCTTTTTTAAGTCAGACCTTTGTGCGAACATGTTCAAAGGAGCCCTTTTGGTCACTGGAACTTACAGGTATTCACAATGTGACCTGTACAATGTCAGCTGAACACCATCTGGTGCACCCACCAGGCCGAACTGCGCTCAAATTTTTCTTTTTTTTCGCAAATTAGTGGTTTCTGTATGGTCTTTTTTTTTGAAGATTTTCTACACGTGAGGTTTTTTCATGGAGTTCGAGAAGCTCATGTGGGT